AGTGGGGTTTCAAAGCTGTACATCGCATGAGAGGATATTGACCATCTTTCTGCCATGAAGCAACTGGTGGATTCGAACTACATGCCTTTGGGTTGGCAACACAACTCTTTACCACTAGGAAAACAGAGTCCCCTTATGACTCATAGAGATCCGATGAACAACATATTGAAACCTTACTTATCCTGCATCATCCTCACAGTCTGCTGTGGTGGTGTAGTCCATAGGGAGGGTGTTGCTAATACAGAGGCAGTGTCTCTCTGTTGGTTCAAATTCACCAGCCGCTTTGAGGAAGAAAGATGGGCAGTTTCCTCCTATGTGATTTACAGCCTCTGAAAGCCTGCTGGAGGGTCAGCTAGGAGTTGGTTCTGACTTGATGGCAATGTTCATAGTAGTGAATATTTTGGAAAAGGTTAATGATGATAGTGGTAAACAGGAAAAATGTAATCAATGTCACTGAATTATGAGTGTGAAAGTTGTTGTTTTGGTTAATGTTTTGACATGTATGTTTTCATGTTGTTGGGTTTTTTTTAAATTTTCTTTTTCATTAAAATAAGGGGAAGAAATGGACTCAGTGACTCCCAACAATAATTAGTGTGAATGGCATCAGTGCCATATTTCAGTTTCCATAAGGGATTGTCTGAGGATCAAAAGGAGATTGGTGAGAGTAATTTAACATTTGTTTTATAACCACTGAGCAGCGAGTATCCTTAGAGTGTTCTGGGAACAAAACCATCAGAGATCCTGTCAGCATTTGGGAGATCTTTTCAACTGTACACAGCAGGAGAGAAAGTGTAAGGTTTTCTGGGGAGGTGGCAACCAAGTGCTAGGAGGCTCCCAGGAAGGGAGAGAGGACACAAGAGTTGGCTTTGGGGGCTGCCCAAAGGATCCAACATCTGAGTAGTCTAACTTCAAAAGATGGGAATGGGTCCAAAAGGCATTCAGGCAGAAGGAATGGCAGGAGTGTAGGCACTGAGGGATAAAGTATGGGAAGCATTTGGGGGCTGGCCAGCAGTCCTACTTGGCTGGTGCTCTAGGTCTTTGGGGCTGGATGGAGTAACTGGAAATAAGGCCAAGAGAAGACAGTGGTGAGAGGAGAATGCTTGAGAGAGCTGTGTGTGTGTGTGTGTGTGTGTGTGTGTGTGTGTGTATGTTAGAACCAGGGAGGACCCTGGATAGAGTCATGTCTGAAGGAGAGAACTGTGGGGAGAAAGATCTGGAAAGGTCAAGGTTCCCAGTGGGGAGGCTGTTGCAATAATCTGGGCACAAGATGGTGAGGCCTAAAGGAAGGCAGAGGTAGCAGTGAGGAGAGAAGGAAGGGAACTGGCCAAGACCCACTTCAGGGCCTAATGAAAAGAAGGGCCAAAGGGAAAGGGTTGAAAAAGTCCTTCCAAAGTCAACCACTAAATTGCAGTTTATTAATCCTCTTCATAACTACTGAGAAAAAGGGAATCTTAGAACACTTTATTGTGCTCATGCAAAACCTATACTTAGAAGCTATTGTCCAGAACAGAACAAGAGAACACTGCACAGATTAATACCTACTCAATCTGCATGCTTAGAAAATCATTTGAGAAGCTGGACTCTATGAAGAAGGATGAGGTATCAAGATTGGAGGGAGACTCATGAACAATCTGTTACACAGATAATAACACAGCCTTGCTGGCAGAAAGAGAACTTGAAACACTTGCTGCAGAAGATCAAAGACCTTTGATAAGTATTACATATCAAAGTTGAGAAAACAAAAAATGGTCACCACCAGACCAATAGGCAACATTATAAAGAAAAGATTGACATTGTTAATGATTTAATTTCACTTGGATCCACAATCAATGCCCAGGGCAACAGCAGTGAAGAAATCAAAATACACGCATTGAGAAAATATACTGTAAGAGATTTCTCCAGAGGACTACAGAGCAATGATGCCATTTAAAAGTACACTTGACGCCGGCGCTGGCTGAAAATCACCTGTGACTTCATCCATAGCCACTGGTGAGAGTCAGTGCCCAGAGCCATCAGGGGCTTTAAGCTCGTTGCCTACTGCTGTGGTGTGGACAGCTGAAACCCAGGCCCCGACAGGCACCTGGCGGGGGGGGGAACACCCAGACTCTACTTCATGCTCTGCTGGAGAAGGAGGGGCAGTCTCTCTCCTGTACCAGTCAGATCCAATTGGACAGTACACACACACACACACACACACACACACACACACACTTTTTCTTCTTCTTCTTTTTTAAAAAAAGACTACTTCAGCCGTCGC